CAAATAATTCCTTACATATTCCTCGTAGGCCTCTGGCGCAGGAGGAGGAGGAAGGGGTATCCTCTGGATGCCAGCTGCCCGTGCCCGGGGGGCAGGAGCCCCCCGAGCACGGGGAGGGGGGGGCCCCCCCCGGGCTATGGTGGCCCCCCGAGCGATGCCCCCCCGCACTGGGGCCCCTCGCACCAGGGCCCCCCGAGGAGGAGGAGGAGGGGGACCAACCCCACGGCCCCTGGAAGGAGAGAAAGAGGGTTGTGAGCAGCTCCTGTGAGGACACTGAGGGTGCTTCTCGTATCTGCTTTAAAATGCAACAACTCGGTAACTAAACGGAGTTGTCATCAGCAAAGCCATGAAGCTTTATCAGCACGAGAATTAACACTGTGCCCTTGTAATATTTGTTAAAACTTCCATTGGGGTGAGAATTCTGCTGCATTCGATGTACAGGCAAAGGAATAAATGATACAAGACTTTGGGCAGGTAATTTCTCGGAGTTCACTGACCTGGGATGGCTTCCAGACCTGCAAACCCATAAGGATCAGTGATGAGATGAGGAGGGACACGTCAGGGTTGAAAAGGCAGAAGGAAAGACACTACCCCATGAAACAGGGAGTGAAGAAAGAACTATAGTAACAGTTTTATTGCCAATTTATCCCAGAGCCTTGACAGCACTGACAGAATGATGCCATCCCAGAGCTCTCAAACGATGCCAGTTTAATCTGAAAATGCTTGTTCTGCTGAAGGCTCCACAAGATCTGTTTACACACAGTTTCACGGGCCAATTGTTGAAAGGTTGCTTTATAAAACTATTGATTGCAGACATCAAAAATAACACAGAAGACACCCACTGTGTTAGATTACATCTCAAAACATGCAAAACATCGGATGCCAGCGTGCTCCAGGCGAGCCTGCAACACAAGGTTGGAAAAGCCTTGGCCAAAACCCAAGGTCGAGCCCGACAGCTGATGTGCAAGAACAAGCAGTTTAACCTCTTCTGACAGGATAACTCTGAGCAAAATGCAGCATTTCCAGGTCTGTGCTTTTGGGAAAGATACCTTGGAACGGGTGGGGGTGGAGCTGCTCCCCTTCCCCGCCCGGGGACTCCTCGGCCGCGGTTCGGCTCTGGAACACCGTTCAGGTAGGACAGCTCCAGGAACTGCTCCTGGCAGATATCATCCATCATATCCTGAAAAGGGGGGACAGTCAGTTCCAGAGAACAGCCAACTAGCCATGCTGTGCCCTGGGATATCCCAGGCTACTGTGCTGGAATAAAAATAACTGAATATTCTTAAATTAAAATCTGCTGGTTGGTTTTACTGGGATTTGCTCAGCAGGTAATGGGGCAGCTTTCTCCAAAGAAGAAATGGATGTCCAGGAGCTCAGGTGAGCAAACAGCTGGTCCCTGGGAAGGGGATCTCCCTCACAGGGCTGCTGGAGGTACCTGATGTCACCCAGCCCCATCCCAGTGGCCACTGCTCCACAGCAATCTTATGTCAGTCCTGTTGAGTACCTAAGACACAGTCAGCTGGAATTAAAACACCAAACAGATGTAATTCCTCACATATTCCCCGTAGGTTTCTGGCACAGGAGGAGGAGGATCCGAGGGGATCCAGCCTCAGGAATGAGCTCAGATCCCTAGTGACCCTTGGAAGCCAGGAAACTCCACCCCTGAGCCTCACACCCAGGGTATTCCCAGCGCCACGGCAACACCACAAAGTGAGGAGTCTCCTCCCAGATGTGTCTTCCAAGCCCTGTTGGCTTCCACAGTGACTTCCCTGTCCATTTTCCCAAGTTTGACACAGGGATAGAGAAGACACTTTAAACAGCAAGGTTGCTTTGGCAGCTCTGCACATCCCAGGGGCTCCTTGGACATGACCTCTTTCCTTTAAAGACGCTCCACATCACAGTCTCTCCTCCTCCCTGTGTCAGACCCAGGCAAACACACCCCATCCATATGCCTTTCCCACTGCTCCCATGTTCCACCTGACCCTGGTACTTCAGGAACAACTTCCAAGCTCTCCAGGCTCACCTGTGGAGCACAGTGACAGGGTCTATTAATCCCTCTGTGAGGTCTCTGAGTTACAGGCTGAGCTGGCCAGAAGCAGGAACACTGCATGGGTCTTTCCCATTTCCACCCCCCCCCTAATTTAATGAGCAACATTGTGATTTTAAAACATGTGAGAGACTCCTTCAGGTCCTGCCATCCTCAGAGGCAACACTCTGTTACACACTGGCTTAAAACAGAGGAATTTGGTCACAAAGGTCTTACAAAGTTCACCAGTAAAACACGTCCCCAAGCAGGTGACAACTGGCACCTGCATAAAAACATGGCTTACTAAATGATGTTCCTTCACATAATCCACATTTAAAGCAGCAGAAATGCTGATTTAACAGGTGTTGTCTCAGAAAACAGTCACCAAAATGAACAGAGCTCCTGAGCTGCCTGGGCTCACCCTCCTCATCCTCATACCACTGTATTTAAGTTTCTGATCTGGCAGTGAAGTTTTCCAGCTGGATTTCTACAGTTCCAAGCCAGAGGAACACATCTAAGAATTCTCTTCCATGCCAGGCAAGACTAAACTTATTCTCCCACTAAACCTGGCACGTGGAGCTGGACAAGCTGCTCATCTCCAGCATCCACAGCTCATACTGGGATGGAAATACCTACTCCAAGTGCTCTATACCACTGCCCTGTATGGTTTTTTTGTCATTCTAATCATGGTTAGAGGAATAATAAATACCTTCTGCAGGATTAACAGGGTTATCTGAAGCTGCCACACACATTTAATATTCCAGGTTCCCTCAACAACCCCAAGTGAGATCACACTGTGCAGATCTTACCCACCCTGAGCCAGGTTCACCACCCACCCACCTCCTGCAAAAACAAAAAGAGTGCCAGCATATACATACTGGAACAAGGAATTTCTTGACCTCCTCCATGGCATGAGCCATCAGGGCATAGGCCTCACAGGGGGGCCCAAAAACCTCGATGAAGACGTGCAAATCCATGTTTAGATGAGCGTATTTCGGGTCTCCCCCTTTGCGCAGCTCCTCCTCCTGAAACAAAGCACAGCAAGAGATTCCTAAAGCTGAACAACACACACAGAGGAAAACTGCTTTTCTCTTACCTGTTTTCTGAGCCTTTAACAGGAAATGTCTGCAAACAGGCTGGGGATTGGGACAGGGTTTTGTGAAAAGCCACGTACAACCCACGCCTTCCACCTTCTGCCTCTTCAGGTGACTTATTTTTGCTAATGGCAATATTTTTAAAATCGACCCCAGCCAATTTTTTTACCCCAAGATTTATATCCAAGCTTGTTGTTCTTCCTCTTCTACACCACCTCCCTGCCAAGGTGCTCTTTACCACCTCAGGAAGCTCTAATGCCTCAAACAAGATTCTGTAACTCTGCTGTGAGACACTTCTGTTACTCAGGCTGTTATTCAGTTATTTAAGAAGCTACAAACAAGCTGGAAGTGTAAAAGCTTTTCATGCAGCACCTGAATTAAGTTACAGCTCTGTTGGCTCTTAGCTCAGTTTTTGGAACAAGCAGGAAGAAAAAAAACCCAAATATTCTTTTCAGTTTTTTTCCCCCTGTTATAAAAACACCTCCTGGCACTTTGTGATTCACTAAAGATTACCAGGAACATACTGCTCCAAGATCTTCAATGAACCATGAGAATTCAAGGACTTCAGAGAGAACAGCTAGAAAAAGGATTTCATTTTTTTTTTATGGAGGGGAAACATATTCCTTTAGTGAAGGACTCTTCAGGGAGTAACTGGGATTAATTCTGATTTTATAAACTCTGTATTTCAGGTCTCACATAAGCCATCTCTGCATCCAAGGGTACAGGGTAGCACAAGAGGCCTGGTTTATAAGTCCTCCTCATAAAGAAAACATACATCACACTTCAGCCCCCATCCAATTGCTCCCAACGTGCACAGAACAATTCCTATTGCTTTGCTTTTGGATTAGAATGGTTTAATCTTTTACAAAATGCTCCCAGAGCCACTGCCTCTCACAGCAGCATGAGAGGAATTCTGTGTGTGCATGTTTTCAGGGTGATGCCCTTACCTTGGCTTTGTCTCTCATTGAGCCCTTCCCCAGCACAGAAATCTTAGCACCAGTTTCTTCCTGAAGTCTCTTAATGGTGTTGCCTTGAGGTCCCAAAATCTTTCCAACAAAGTTGAACTGCAAGTGAATTAAAAAAAAAAAAAAAAAGGAAACAAATTAGCTCCAGAGTCCAGCAGATTTAACAGAAGCATTTCTGAATGTCATGTTGGCTGACAAAAAAAAAAAAAGAAATAAAAAACCCAGTCACTCCATTTGCTCCTCACCTCACCAAAAAATACAGACCAAAAAAAAAAAATTTAAGTTTCAAAACATTCTTGTCATGAAGAAAATGCTCCACCAGAAAAACCAAGCTCAATTAACTCCCCAGAAGTGTTTAATTCCAACCTCTACTCTGCAGCAGTTTTACAGGCAGCGAATCTTAACGAGTTAAATGAGGTTTTTTTAACTGTAAAACACAAAGCTCTACCCATGGAAGTGTCTATCCCAGCAATAAAATATCCCAGCTACGCATCACCATTTAAGCTTTATCCCAAGACATTTTAGAAATGCAATATATCAGAAACAAGATCCTGCAAGCCTGCACAGGAAAAATTCCACAGTGATAGTGGAACGGTGCATTAAGTCCTGCTGACACTCTGACAGCCACTATCTCTCAGTCAGCCACAAAATCCACAGAAAATAAGCAAACCCCAGAGATTCAGTAGCTATTTTCTGGCCCTCACCTTGGGGTACTGTTTGACAGGTATCAGAACTCGTTCTTTCAGTTTCATATTCTTGTGGGAAAATAAATCCAGGTAGTTTTCTTCCTCATCCTTCTTTGTTGTTTCACCCTTCTGAATTTTTTCAATTTCTAAACAAGATAAAAATAGGGCTGCTTTATATTCCTCAAACAAGCATCAGTTCAGAGCTGGAGTTATGACAGGACACACCACCCTCATTCCCTGGGAATGGATCAACACTTGGAATGGTCTTAATGGAACATGGACAGGTCACCTCTTTAGTGCTGGAATTCCAGAGGCTAAAAATGGGATAATGGACAAAAATAAGGAGGAACAGCAGAGAATACCCTGCAAATAATTTAACAAATGAGAGCAGGAAACTGCAAGTAGAGTTTTGTGTGTCTGTGCCATGAACACAGCACCCTAAATGCACAAAGAAACCAGCCCAAATTGCACTAAAACTACATATATTTGCTATAACACAGCAGAAATCAGCAAATGAGGCAGGTTTTTATCATTCAAGCCAAGCTATTTTAAATCCATAATTTAATTAGTGGTGTCAACACATCCTGACACGACGAATTTCAGTTGAAAACAATCCTAATAAACAACAACCCAGTGAGTGAGACAGAGTGTGGTCTGGTTTAGGAAATTCTCACAGCTTCATTTCATGAAATGAATTCACCTTTATCACACAAATAATTACTAATTGGGTTTTCAAACCCTCAGCTGTGCAGCCATGAAGGTGAGGGTCACAAGTTCTTAAATCCATCCAGGCAACGCAACTACGAATTTTTTTGCCTTTCAAAACAGGATTTTGATTTTTAATTGTCTGTTGTGAATCACAGAACCTTAAAAACCCACTGAGGTGGCCTGAGTGAAGGCAAGGAATGTTGCAGCCCGAGGGGATCTGGGACAGATCCCAGTAACCTGCTGGAAGTAGGTCGTTAAGGGAGGTCAATTAGGAGCTGGTACAAACACCTTAAACCTGCCTGGAAATTAAACTTTCCCTGAGAGGTGGCAGGATGTGACCCACATGGAGAAAATTCAGGATCCTCTTCCAGGCAGGAATTTCTTAGTCATTAATGCACTTTTCCTTGTTACAGGGATATAACACCCAGCACTCTCCAGAAGAGGACAGCCCAGAGCTGCCTGGCTTCTCCTTTCCAGAGATGTCCAGTCAGGGGCAATTTCTATTCAAAGGCCACCAACTAAGTGAGAAGTTCCCCCAAACCTGGAGCCAATCCAACAATCCCAAATCACTGATGAACCATGAGGAATCCTTTGGTCCAACAAAAAAAAAAAAAAAAACCACAAACAAAACCAAATTGGTCACATCCAAATCCACCACAAATTGTTATTTACAGGTGTTTATCAGGAGCACAACCCTTCCTTAAAAGTTAAATTGTGCCATTTCACCCGAGGACTAGAAATACATTTTCTGAGTCGAGAGTGCTCTAAGTACTTCTCACATCTCAGGGGAAAGAGACACTTCACAGGATTATACACAGAACTGGAATTGAGCTGCAAAACAAAACCAACACCTGCTTAGACATTACCAGAATTTCCACAGTGCAGCTGCAGTCTCTCCTATTTCCTGTGATTTCTGCTCATCTCAAACTCTCTGCTTTTGACTAAAGGTTCACATTTACAAGTTTCAGAAGCCTGACGTATGGACTTGATGACCTTGGAGGTGTTTTCCAACCTTAATGATTCTACACCAGATCCTCAGCATATTATCCATGTAGGAATATTTTCATATCATCCAAACATGGCCAGTGGGTTACCATCACCCTCCTGGACAGGCAACCACCCCATGGGCTGAGAAGCAACTTTCAAGTGGTGCAGAGCACAAGAAACCACACGTGCAATCAAAAAAAAAAAAAAACAACAAACCCCAAACCCTTATGAAAACATCACCAAATAATCGATATTTTCATTTTCCGGTTCTGGACCCAGAATAATATAAATTTAAATATAAAACTGGCTTTTAGTTTAGAGAGATCTAAATAAAGAACCTGGAGACTGCGGGAGAGAGAGTTAATATTCCAGACCATGTGGTGTCACAGGATGAAGCTGAGGGAGAAGGAGGATGGGGGGATGTTGGGAGTGATGGCACCTTCCCAAGTCACGGCTGGGAGAGATGGAGCCCTGCTTTCCCAACCACTGGGAAATTGGGAAGTGGGGGATGAATTCCTTGGTTTGCTTTGCTTTTACCCATTGAACTGTTCATCTCAACCCACATTTTCTCACTGTTACCCTCCCAGTTCTCTCCTCCATCCCAGCAGGGCATGGGGGTGAGCGAGGGCTGGGTGGGGCTTGGTTGTCACCCAGGCTCAAACCAGGACACAGAATTATGACAAAAAATTGCCTGAATTTTTTATCTCTGTTCACAACAGCACCTTGGCTCCCTTACAGAAGTGTTACCATGACTCCTTAAAAAAAAACAACCACCGGATCAAATCGCTTGGAAAAAGATTCCTTGATTTTTGCTCTAAAAAGAAGTGACTTTCTGAAGATAAAATGCAAAAGCATAAAACCCCTTCAAGTTCACACACTGTCAAATTTATAAAATAAGACAAAGAGCTGCCTTGATTGGTTTTATGTAGGGTTTTTTTTAAAATTTTAGATATAAGAACACGATCAGAGAGTCAAGATTTGGAAACTAAAGGTTTCCCTGGTGAGGGATGACTTAAAACCCTATAGAACTGACTTCTGAAATAACTCAGTTTTCCTAAAACAGTATGTAAACTTCTGAAAATGCATCCTGTACAGAAACAAGAAGTGTTTCTTATAAACACAATAAAAAAAAAAAACCCACCCTAAAACTTTCTTGATGGAAATTAAACTACCCAGAGGCATCATCTGGGTTGTTAAACCCTCAGCTATGCAGCCATAAAAGTGAGGGTCAGAAGCTCTTAACTCGATTCAGGCAATGCAACTACAAATTTTTTTTGTCTTTCAAGAATAGGACTTTGATTTTTAATTGTCTGTTGTGAATTAGAGAGTCTTAAAAGCCCCCTGAGGTGGCCTGAGTGAAGGAATTCTGCAGCCTGAGGGGATCTGGGACAGAGTCCCAAACCAATGAATCCCAGTTCACATCCACCACACCCAGCAAAAATCCTCCTGCAAAAGTAGGAATGACATCTGGGAATTGGTCTGTGAGGGCAAAAGTTAATTAACAACAAACAAAAAAGAAAATGCTAAAAAATTAAGCAGCATCAGGTCCACATCTTCAAGGAGAGTATAAAATGTGGGAGAGGGATAACCCCACGTTCTCCATCTGCTGGAATTCAGTGTGGGTGACCCAGCAGTCCCCTCCAAACCCCTTCACAGAACAAAGCCTGGAAATAGGTGTGAGGAAGGATTAAAAACATGCCACTGGTGCCCTGTCCCACTGCTCCGGATTCCAGAGGCATCTGGCCACGCTCTGGCCACACAACACAGAATGTCCCGGGATATCCTGAGCTGGAAGGGACCCACGGGCTGCAGTGCTGAGTGAACTGGAGTGGGAGCAGCTGTCAGAGCAGTCACTGAGAGGGAGGAGAAGCACAGGGATCCCTGGAGGGATTGAGCCCCATATTCCAGGGTGGGATTTTAGAGGAGCAGCAGAAGGTTACCTGCTTGGCACGGGGAATGTCAGCGGGCTGGCACTGCTGGCAGGGGTGGCACTGCTTCCCAGACTTCTGTGGGACAGGGATTGCATTGTCTCAGCAGGAATCCTATGGGGTAGGTAAAGGGGGTTGGTAACAAGGGGCCACAGGGATCCCCAGCCACTGCTCCTCAGCTCAGCCCAAAATCACATTAAACACTGTCCTGCAGCACATCTGTGCTCTGCAGAGCAGAGGCACGTTCTGTTTATTCATAATACTGACCCCATGCCCCCAAAAACCCACCAAAACCAGACAGTTCGGGGACAGAAGCCTCTGGAAGAAAGGGAGACCTGACCCCCTTCACTAGTTTGATCCCACAGGAGGGGAAGCAGGGGCCTGCTCCTGGATGGACTCTGCCAATAAGTGGAAGCTGCAAACACTAATCCCACCGTTTTCCTCCCCAAAATACACCCTCCAGCTTGTATTCCTGGGAATTCCAGCTGGGATTCCTGGGCTGATACCTCTGCTTTGGGGCTTTGCTGGGAAGAGAGGGGACAGAAACTGCCACCAGCACCGGGAGGGAAAGGAGCAGGAAGGGAGAGGGGAGCTGAGACATATCCCAGGTGGGAGAGGCTCCCAGGGCAGCAGTGGGAAGAGGAAGAGCCCCAGCAGTGGCAGCAGACCAGCAGTGGGTAACACTGACATGGTTTAGCAAAATATACGTTGAAAAGGGCACCAGTGAAATGATTTGGGCATATCACAGCCTGAGACATCTGGGGACAATTTAAGGTGGCAGTGCCAGCTCCTCTGGGGGCAGGATTTATGCTTGGAAGCACAGAAGCTGAGATAATCTCCATTTCAGGGCAGCCTGAACTCCATGTGAAACAAGCTTCAGGCACAGCTCCTCATCTCCCCTCAGCCCCCTCCAACCCCTGTGCTCTGTTCCTTGGTGAGTCACCACCCACCCCTCTGACTTTCCCTTTTTCCTTTCCCCTTCCCAGGAATGCACAGACTGAACCTGCCATGAGATTCCAGCACAGTCAGCAGGGAACTCTCTGTCCAGGAGTCCCCCAGCTGCTCCCTGCTTTGCCTCGTGTTGCTTTAACTCCAACTGCTCCACGCTCTGAATCCAACCCTCACCACCCATTCCCATCCCTCCTGACCACCCCACGTTTTTGGGGATGTAAAGGGCTGCATCCAATAGGAGCACCAAGGAGATGTGGTGGAATGACACAGCTCAGGTATCCACCTGCAGCTGAGGAAGCTCAGAGGTGACCAGCTCTTTTCACTTGGGAGTTTCTCCATGAAATAAAAATAGTTAAAAATACCACAGGAATTTGAAAAAACCCCAAAACCTACTCCTGGTTGACACAGAGGTGGATGTCTTCTGTCTTCCCAAAGCAGGGAAGCAGAGAGGAAAGTGCCTTTCACATCACCAGCAGAACCCCAACAGCACAAATGCAAGGGAGGAAAAGGGTTTTCTTGTTCCTGTGGAAGAGGGAGGTCACACAGACCCCAAATCCCAGGACTGAAACACG